AACTTAGTCCCTTTTACATTCGGGTGTCCTTTTACATGAATTGCATATAGTTAATATGTAGGTACAGGAAGATTACAGAGGCAAGTAGAATGTTAGCATTTATTGCAAGACGAATGGAAAATAAAAATAAGGATGTTTTACTGCATCTTTACAGGGCCTTGTTGGGACTATATTTGAAATACTATGTATATGATTATTTAGTCATTGCACTTAGGGAAAAAAACAGTTATAGTTCTGTGAGAAACTGTTTGGTTCACTCCACTCATTCCTGGTTTGACTTAAGAAAGAAATTCAAACAGATTGGACCAATATCTGTTGGAGTTTGGAGTAGGAGGTGAACTCATTGAAACATGTAAGATCTTGAGTGGACTTGATAAGGTGGGTACTGGAAGGATGTTCTTTCTTGTAGGGGAGATGAGAACTAAGGTGCACAGTTTATGGAGAAGAAATATCTCCTAGAGGGTCATTGTTATGGACAATTCTCTTCTTCAAAAAGGAATGGAGGTTGTGCCATTGAATTTATTCAAGGATGAGTTGATTAATTTTGATTGACAAGGGAGTCAGAAAATAGAGTTGAGACCACCATCAGACCAACTGTGATTTTATTATGAAGCAGGCTGAAAGCATCAAATGGCTAATTCTGCTCCTAGGTTCTATGTTCCTGTGATTTCTCCCTTTGGAATTGGGTGTTGGATTCAAGCCTGACTAAAAAAGAAAGAACCCACCACTGTGTGGGATGGCCATGTGGCAGTGATTAGTAGACAAAGGGTTTGCTTGCGAGCAGTTAAGAACAGTGATAGGTTCCTAAATCTGGAAGCCAGTCAATAGGAGGCTGTACTGCTTAAAGGAGATTGAGCCTGTAGGTCAGGGAAGGAGGGAGAGAGATGGTGCCACCATCTCAAAACACTTCTTCCCCAACATTTTAAACTTACAAATATTAAAAATAGCAGGAGGGTCAGAAACCCTGTCCCGAAGAATAACAATTCTGACCCCCACCACCACCAATTTGCCACTGGTATGCCATCTCCAGGTAGTGGCCCAGTCCTTGATGAGTCAAGGAGAGGGAACCTAGGCTCCCCTTGAAAAATGTCAATCAGCCTCTGAACAAGGCCTTAAAGGGCTATTAAGCATCTTCAACTGGCAACCCACTGCTTGTTGGTGGGTGACTCTTCAGTCACCAGTTCTACCTCTTGGAAAACACAGTCCTGGAGTTGGATGGTGCCAGCAGATTAACCAGCAGATTAACCAGCAGTATCACTTTTTGAGCCTGCCTAAATCTGGATATCTTTGGGCTGTTGTAAAACTGCCCCTTCCCACTCATTTCAATGATTTGGAATTGTGGGTCTAAATGTCCTAATGGTCTGCTTCATCAAAGCCCTTATAGATGCATGCATTTTACTATATCTCTCCATTTTACATGTGAATATTTCAGAAGGAGCCATGAGCCAAGGTGACTGCTTCTACCTGATTCTGAAAGTAGTATGTTCATCAGTTACCAAAAACTAAAGCATTTTGGTAAGCTTCCAGCCCAATGAGCTGGAACTGGAACCTGTCTCTGTTCATGACTGAAATGGCATCAAAGGTTAGGGGGGTCCACATATCATCATTAATGCTGTCAACTTTGGGAAACTGGTTTCATAGAAAATGCTGTTATAGAAAGATGATTTTGGGCATCAATACTTCCACATTGAATGCTTCTCTCATCCTCTATCTGAAGTGCAAGTACTAGGGAGATCAAATGAATAACTAATAGCCTGTTATTCTGAGATAACAAGGTGTAGAGCTGGATGAACACAGCAGGCCAAGCAGCATCATAGGAGCAGGAAGGCTGACGTTTTGGGTCTAGACCCTTCATCAGATTGTTATCTCAGATTTTCCAGCATCTGCAGTTCCTACTATGCCTGTTATTCTGACTTTGTATTTATTTTGTACAGACACTAATGTGTTAACCAATGAGTTGGAGGTGAGGCAGCACTCAGAGTTTCTGTTTACTCAACAGTGAGATTCTGTTTAAACAAAAGTCCCTATTAACCACAGCAAAAAATAACTCGTGACCTGAAAATGCAGCATAGACTCCTGGTGAAAAGCAGGGTCTTTTGTTTCCCCAGAGAAAATTAGTGCTTCAGGTCAGTTACATTATGTAAATTATACATGTAACGCCAATCTCTACCATTTATAGCTGTGTGGTCTCCAGGTGTGATTGACACAGAAGAATTAACCAAATATCTCAATCCTAGCTGGAGTTGTGTGTAACTACATGGAGCTAGAGAACTATAAAATGGTTACAGCATCAAAGAACAATATTTATTGGGTGGTACAATGGCTCAGCAGTTAGCACTGCTACCTCATAATGCCAGGAACCTGGGTTCAATTCCACCCTTGGGTGACTGTCTCTGCACAGTTTGCACATTCTCCCCGTGACTGCGTGCTATGGTTTCCTCCCAAAGATGTGCAGGTTCGGTGGATTGGTCATGCTAAATTACCCATTGGGACCAGGGATGTGCAAGTGGATTAGCCATGAGAAATGCAGGGTCACAGGGATAGTGTGGGGAGTTGGGTCTGGGTGGGATGCTCTTTGGAGGTCAGTATGAACTTGATGGGCTGAATGGCCTGCTTCCTCACTGTAGGAATGCTATGATTCCAGATTCTATGAACAACATTTATCCTGTTGTCTTTGTGCCAGCTATATGTGAGAGCAAATCAGTTAGTTCTATTGCCAGCATCTATTCCCCGTAGCCTGTGCATCTTTGATTTTGTTTAACTAATAAAACACTGGAATTTTCTTCTCTAATTTTCCCTTCTCAGTCTTTTGTCTTGTTTCAATTCCCTGTCCTTTATTTATTCTCAGTCTCTTTCTTCCTCCCCATCTGTTTAATATTTCCTTGTCTTTAGTTTCTCCTTTCTCCTGCACATCTTTGGATTGTGGGAAGAAACCAGAGCACCCAGAGGAAACCCATGCAAACAAGGGGAGAATGTGCAAACTCCACACAGACAGTTGCCCGAGATTTGAATCGGACCCGGGTCCCTGGCACTGTGAGGCAGCAGTGCTAATCACTGAGCCACCATGCCACCCCTTTGTTTCCACATTATTGATCTCTTCGAAACACCAAGATCAGATGTGCAGTTTGTCACCCGAGATCTTAAATATTTTCCACAGATGATCTTGACTGATTTAGGTTTTGGGTAGAGATAAATTCAGTTCTAATTTTGAGTTATACAAGAAATTATATGTTAAGAGTATTTTGTACTTAATAAAGGATAAACTTAAAAAGACCAGAAATCCAGGGAAGGGGGGATAGTCGCAGAGATGGAGTGAATGTGAGGTAGCAGAGGGAAGATAGTGGCACTTACCCTGGTGGAACCATCTTTTGGCTTGTTTGACTTTCTTTTAAAAAGCATATGTTGTACTTAAAAATGCAATCTATCCTTAATTAATTCTTGGTGATGACAACATAGAAATTTACAATGGAGGAAATGCACTAAGGCTTAAGACTGACTTTATTATGTATTTGTTTTCCTTAACATAATAGATCACTGCTCAGTGATGCCCAGTTTGGGTTCCGCCAGGGCCACTGAGCTCCTGACCTCATTACAGCCTTGGTTCAAATATGGACAAAAGAGCTGAAATCCAGAGGTGAGGTGAGAGTGATAGCCCTTGACATCAAGATTGCATTCAACTGAGTGTGTCACCACAGAGCCCTAGCAAAACCGAAATCAATGGGTGTCAGGGGGTAAACTCTCCAGTGGTTAGAGTCATACCTGACACATAGGAAGCTGGTCATTGTTATTGGAGGTCAGTCATTGCAGTTCCTCAGGGTAATGTCCTAGGCCCAACCATCTTCAGCTGCTTCATTAATGGCCTCCTTCCATCATAAGGTCTGAAGTGGGTATGTTCGCCGATGATTGCACAATGCTGAGCGCCAGTCGTGACTCCTCAGACACCGAAGCAGTCCGTGTCCAAATGCAACAAGATCTGAACAATATTCAGGCTGGCATCTATAGGTGTGAGGCTGGAAAAGCACGGTAGATTAGACATCCAGGTAAATCAATGTTTTGGGCCGAAACCCTCCAAAATTCAAGCTTGGGCTGAAAAGTGACAAGTAACATTCACGCCACACAAATACCAGGCTATGACCATCAGCAACAAGAGACAATCTAACCACTGCCCCTTGACATTCAATGGTGTTAGCATCACTATCAACATCCTGGGAGTTATCATTGACCAGAAACTCAGCTGGACTCACCACATAAATGCAGTGGCTACAAGAGCAGGTCAGACACTAGGAATACTGTGGCGACTAACTCACCTCCCCAAAATCTGTTCACCATCTACAAGGCACAAGTTGGGCATGTGATAGAATAGTCCCCACTTGCCCTGGATGAGTACAGCCCCAACAACACTCAAGAAGCTTGACACCATCCAGGACAAAGTGGCCCACTTGATTGGCACTGCATCCACAAGCATTCACTCTCTCCACTGCCGTAGTGTGTACTGTCTACGAGATGCACTGCAGAAATTAACCAAAGATCCTCAGACAGCACCTTCCAAACCCACGACCACTTCCACCTAGAAGGACAAGGGAGCAGATATATGGGAACACCACCACCTTCAAGTTCCCCTCCAAGCCACTCACCATCATGATTTGGAAATATATTACCATTCCTTCACTGTTGCTGGGTCAAAATCCTTGAATTCTCTCCCTAATGGCATTGTGGGTCAACCCACAGCAGGTGAACTGTAGTGGTTCAAGAAGGCAGCTCACTACCACCTTCTCAAGGGCAACTAGGAATGGGCAATAAATGCTGGCCAGCCAGCAACACCCACATCCCACAAAATGTATAAATTTTAAAAAAGACTTCTGGACTGATTAAACTGTCTACATGTTAAGATTGTGTACAATCCAGATACATGGAAATGTGTGTGAAGCTAAACTTTGATGTATGGTTATCCCTCTACACTCTGCTAGAGGTTATAATTTAGAACCTTTGTTTCATTGCAGCGACTGGCAGCTATCCCTGTGACCTCATTTGTCAGTGACCAGGCCAAGAGCCAGTTTGAGAAGTACATTCGTTTCTGCTTTGTCAAGGTCAGTCAACTGAATTACAAATTGGGAGTGGTGGCAGGGTCCTTTTGATGACCAGGCCTGCTGCTAAGAATTAATGAAGCATGAACTCGAAGCATGTGTATGCGCATCTCTACTTTGTATATTCTCTAAAATGTCCTTCTTTTCCTTTCTTTTAAACAGCAAGACAGTACCTTGAATTCAGCGGAGAGCATTCTGAGAAACTGGAAATAAAAGCCATTGCTTCACTAATGGAGTAGCAATCTACATATCAACCTGACTGGCCTTAAATTTCTTTTTGAGTAAAACAGGTAGTCTTCCGCTTTTCCTTGCTTTCCTCAAAGCACTGAATTGAACAGGTCAAAGATTTGCAGGAACTGGGAGCCTGCTAAATATCATCTGGTTTTTGAGGTTTCACCTGGAAATGATTGGTTCTACAATACAATAAAACATATCCCTGCTGAAATTGATTTGGTTCATATCTGGTGATCATCATGATTCTCTTCAAGCAAATGAAAGTACTGATGTATAAGTAGATTTGCTCCAGTTCTCAACCAGGGCAAGATATTGTGAATACCGTAAAGTTGTGGTTTCACTATTCTTAACTTGATGTTCCCATAACAGTACCACTTGCTGCGGGAAAGGAATTGGAAATTCTACCCTCTGACGTTTGTTTTTCTTTTTACATACCTTGAACATGTTCCTTTATTAAAAAAAGCACTAAAGCAGAAGAATTAAAGATAAAATATGCTACAAAGATTTTTGAGGAGATTCTGCACTTTTTGGTTACAAGCTCGATTCACCTATTTTTTTCCTTCAGAATTGAAGATTCTAAATACTATAGCATTAATTTATTGAGGTTATTTGGATTTTTTTTTTCATTTGCGTTAAAGCAAACTCTGCCTTCCATGGTTTGAAGACAAATCTGTTTGAAATGTATGAACCTTGATACACAGTGGAAATGAAAGGTGGGTTTTACCAAATCACTGTATCCAGTCATCTTCAATATACTTTTGAGTGTATTAATACAAGTCTGAATTAGTTAAGTTATGTTTTTATTTGATTGTATGATGATTGTTATTGTCAATTATTATATCGTTCTCCTGGTCAGCCCCTATTCTCCACTCTCGATAGACTCCATCAATTCATCTAAAACTCAGTTACCATATCTTATCTGTTAATATCGCATAGGGACTCATAACCTTTGAAAAAACAAGTCTGAACTTCCAATGAACAGCTAAGAGAAAGACATAAGATTTCACAGTTTTAAGATCTTTAATATAACAAACAAACTAAAAGCACACAAATAAAAGGAAAATACTGCAGATGCTGGAAATCTGAAATTAGAACAGAAAATACTAGAGAAGCTCAGCTGGACTGGAGAGAGAAACAGAGCAAACACTGACAACATTTTCATTCTAGGCCTGCTGCGGTATTCTGATGTAGGTGATTCTAAGCTCCCAAATGTCTCCATTCCTTTCTTTGCAGCCCTAGTACCTTTTTAATTTCAAGAACTGTCTTTCACAGTGAGGATTTGTTTTCCCCTGTGAGGCTAGCTCTGTAGATCTTGAAGCCTCATTTTAACTTCTCACAAACTTCATGTTCTCAATCTGAGCATGAACTCCCACCCACATTTTTTGCAGCATATAACTGTTCTTTCTCTGATTCTGGCAAAGTAACTGTGTTGGAGAGGTTCAGGGATATTTTAGAAGGCTTCCGCTCTCAAAGCCCATCTTCAAGCTGACATGAATCACATGGGCCTTGTATCCAGCTGGAAATGCTGATTAGCTTTTCTTGAGGCCCCAATTCTCTTATTTGGAAGCAAGTGGATAGTTTTAATGAGTACTTGTTTAGAATCTGACATTCTTAACATTTTCCTGGGACTTTGGAGACTGGAACCTGGATTTTCCTCTTTGGAGGTAGGTGCTAGGAGTTAAGAAAATTCACAGCTTGGTCTGTTCACTTCAGGACAAAGTGTTGGAAGGTGGTTGTGACGGGGTAGGTGCAGGCTACAGTTGGGCCAGCTGACCTGTAGGCATCTGAAGGTTACTGGTTGCAGAGCTGGCTGTTCAAAAAGCCCTTCTTGGTGCTGTCAGACTTTAACCCATAAGTCTGTAAAAAAAATAGGAACAGGACCCTTCTGATGAAGGGTCTAGGCCCGAAACGTCAGCCTCTCTGCTCCTATGATGCTGCTTGGCCTGCTGTGTTCATCCAGCCCTGCACCTTGTTGTCTCGGATTCTCCAGCATCTGCAGTTCCTACTATCTCTGACAGGACTATGCTGTTGGGTCTCTCGAACCTGCTCTGCCATTCAATAGGATCATGGCTTATCCTGACATTCCTCACATCCACTTTCCTGCAATTTCCCCAAAACCTTGATTTCTCCTACCAATCAAGAATCTATCTATATCAGCCTTAAACATACATATATAAGGATTCTGTTGCCCCACACAGCTCTCTGTGGCAAATAATTCCAAAGACTCTCAATCCTCTGAGAGAAGAAATTCTTCCTCATCTCAGTCTTAAATTGGCACCCCATTATTCTGAGATTGTGCCCTGTGGCCCTAAACTCTCCATGAGGGAAAACATCCTGTCAGCAATTACCCTGCCAAAACCCTTAAGATTCCATGTTTCAATGAAATCACCTCTCATTCTTCTAAACTCCACTGAATAGAGTCCCAGATAACAAGGTGTAGAGCTGGATGAACACAGCAGGCCAAGCAGCATCAGAGGAGCAGGAAGGCTGACATTTCGGGCCTAGACCCTTCTTCAGAAAAAGAATTTTTCTGACGGATTTTCTGAAGAAGGGTCTAGGCCCGAAACGTCAGCCTTCCTGCTCCTCTGATGCTGCTTGGCCTGCTGTGTTCATCCAGCTCTACACCTTGTTATCTCAGATTCTCCAGCATCTGCAGTTCCTGCTATCTCTGAATAGACTCCCAGCCTGTTTAGCATCTGTATTTAAGACAATCCCTTAGACGGAAAAAGTAGTAAATATGTGGGAACCCCACCACTTGTGTGTTCCCCTGCTAGCCCTTCACCATCCTGACTTGGAAATATATCACCATTCCTCAAGTGTCACTGGGTCAAAATTGCATAACTCCTTCCTGAACAGCATTGTAAATTGACCTACACTAAATGGAATAGTATTTAACCCTACTTTAACGGCAACCAGGGATGGGCAATTAATGCTGTGTTAGGTATTGACACCCATATCCCACAAAAGAATAAAAAAAGTAGACTTTTTCATCTGATTCCTTTTGAATTCTATTTTACGGGTGCCTTTTTTTCACCTTTCTTAATCAAACCCAATCTTGACGTCAAGGACAGTCACTCTCAGTTCATCTTTAGAGATCAACTCCTTTGTCCGTTACTGGATCAAGGTTGTACTGTGATCAGTAGCTGAGCGGTCATGGTACAATCAAAATCAAAATGATTGACAGGCTTTTGGTAAGTAACTAGAACTTGTTAACGTTGCTGATCATACATTCCATCGCTTCACTGATAATTTTTACAATCCTCCAGAGACTAATATATTTTTATGTAGAGCCCAATAATGCTAACAGAAAGAAAACTGCTGGACAAAATTTCACTTTTTAACCTTTGCTGTAACAATATCAACATAATTCGAACATTAGTTGATAGGTGAAGAAGGTCAAATAAAAAGATATGTTTTGCTTTAAATATTTGTATGCCTCAGCCCTAGAGATGGCGGTGCTAGCAAGATAAGCAGCGTTCAGAGTCCTGGATCCGTCTGCTCCAGTCGACCGCTTCCTCCCTTATCCTTTTTGGCATTTTTCTTTTTCTTCATCTTCTTCCTTGGCGGCGGTAGAGAAGGTGACATCGCAGAAGGATAGCAGCTGGAGCAGGATTCTTGGTGAGGTGATGGCCTGGCCTGGCAGTGGAGCCAGGGACTTCTGGTTGCAGTAGGCCCAGAGCGGGGACTCCTGGTTATTGGCAAGGCAGCGGTGGAGCAGGGGGCTCCTAGTTGTAGGGCATGTTCGAGTCCAACACAGGACCCGGCAACAGTCAAGTGAGCCCAATGACAAAAAGACAGCGCCTGAAGGATGGCGACTCTGAAATGGGTGGGTGTGGGTCAGGTCACTGAGAGGTGATGGCTCAGATGTCATTGGTCAGCTAGCTCAGGACTCATGGTGGAGGTGGCAGAATGAAGATGAAATCTTTCAGCTTTATCTTTTTATTCTTAAAATATTCAAGTGGCACCAGATTGTGGCAACAGTTGGCGCCGTTTACTGTATTTTATGGTGTTGTTCATTGTAGAGCATAAGTGACAATAAATCATCATTCATTCATTCATGTTGTTACAAGCACTTGTGTTGTTTTTCAAACAAATATGGAATCCTTAATCTTTCCAACTCAGCTTCTGTTCTTTATATTGGCCTAAATGAATGTCATAATGTCCCAGCGACTGCTTTCTCATTAGAAAGAGATAACTGATGGTCAGTTTACCTGAGGAATTCCACACCTCTGGCAAAGGGTGAGATTGAGAAGGCAGGGTCTCTATGGTGACCTCAACTAGTATGGGTAATTGAGCCTACACTATTAGGCACCACTTTCTATTACAAATCAACTGTCCAGCCACCAGACCTAGCCAAGCTGCACTATATCATGAAGGAAACCAATTATCCCTCTTTCAGAATACGCCCCAGTTCACTTTGACCTTATAAGGGACATCACTCAAGAAAATAGACTTTTCCTAGCACCTGGGTCAACACATGATTGAGAGTAGGCTGATGAGCTGGTATTGGATTTATGTTTCTTCTAGACAGGACAGAGTTGGGTAATTCCCCAAATTGTTGGGTAAATGCCAGTAGCTGGAACATCGTGGTTAGCATCATGGCTAGTTCTGGAATATGTCTTCAGCACTACAGCCAAAATATTCCCAGGGCCCATAACTTTTGCCACAGACTGGGTCTGAGCTGTTTCTTGAAATCACATGGGGTGAGTTGATTGAGCCATTATGAATCATCCATTCTGACTTATGTTCAAAGATGGCATGAATGCCTCAGTTTTGTTCTTTGCACTCGTGTTAGCTTCCATCCTCATGGAGAATGGGAACATTCATGGACATTCACTGGGTTTCTGAGATAGGAGTGCTGTCCAACAATGACAGGCTTTCTGAGAATGAGCAATGACTTGATTATAATGTGCAAGGTTCTGAAGGGCTTGATAGGACAAATGCTGAGGCAATGTGTCCCATGGCTGACAGTCTAGAACACTCAGAGAATTGTAAATTGTTGAAATAACTTGTTCCAGAGGATGCTCCATCATTCAGTATATGCATGGCTGAGATTGACAGATTTTTGACCTTTAGAGGAATTGAGAGATATTTAGTGGATGAAGTGATGAAGTAATAATGTCACTAAGCTAGTAATCCAGAGTCTCAGACTCATGTTCTGGGGGCATGGGGTTTAAATCACACCACAACTGATTGTGAAACATGAACTCAATAA